AGGGGAGGGGAGAAACATCAATGATGAGAGAGTCATTGACTGGCTGCCTCCTGCATGCCTCCCACTGGAGATCGAGCCCACAACCTGGGCTTCTGCCCTGACCAGGTACTGAACCTCAATCTCCTGGATCATAGGTTGATACTCAACCGCTGAACCATGTGCCGGCCGGGCTGTTCTTCAATTTTTTTTTTTACTATTTGTGGTACCTTATAATTCCATATGTATTTTATCATCACTGTGTCCATTTCTGCAAATAAGACAGCTGGAATTTTGATAGAAATTGCATTAAATCTGTAGATAAATTTGGGGAGTATTGCCTACATATCATCTTTTGTATATTCTATAATACATATAAATAAAAATATTTTTAAAAAGTAATTCAAAATGTTTAAGGTTTATGAAAGAAAGGAATGGGATGCTCAGATAGAAAGTGCAAGGGAAAAGGAGAACAATTAGAAAGAATGGTCAAGGAAGCCTTCACTGAAGAGATGACAGCCATGCTGAGCCTACAGGATAAAAAGGAGAGCAAAAAGAGCATTCCAGGCCAAGGGAATGACATATGCAAAGACCCTATGGCAGCAAAGAGGAGGGCATGCTCCAGGAACTGACTGCAGGGGCCCATGTGGCTGGACTCAGAGCCTGCAGAGCAAGACAGTGAGGCCAGAGGAGGTGCAGCATGTGACAGCAAGTTTCTGGGATGGCACCAGGAAACTGTTAAGCATGGTTATCTCCAGCAAGTGGGGCCTTTACTCTCCACCTTATTCCTGTCTATGCTGTTAAAATGTATCAACAATTTTATTACTTTTATAAAAAATTGCTTTTTCAAAATTACCCACACAAGATTTTAAAAATAAAGAGAAGCTTCAACTTTACAGTTACCAATAAAATGTACGTTTAGAAAACTGGCACAGTAATTAAATTAGCACACTTAAATTGACAATTCTCATTGCAAGAGAGGCTATGATTAAAGTGGTATCTCTGTGCACCGCTGATGATGGCATAAACTGGTAAAACTTTTGGAAAGCAATTAAGTAAAACATTCTGAAAATAATACAAATAATCTAAACCTTTGTGCCATTCCTCCTGAGAATTTATCTTAGGACAATAATTCAAATGAAAGAAAAAGCTACATCTCTACACATGATGTTGCAATACCTCCAATGGCTGCTGCACATCCTCCACCCCCAAAAAAGCACGCCTCCTGACAACAGGGTAATGATTAAGTAATCATTTGATAAAATGATTAAACGGTTAATTTATCTTATGGTAAATTAGTTGGATGCTATATCATACAAATATTGAAAACTGTAATTGTGGCCCTGGCCAGGTGGCTCACCTGGTTGGAGCATCATCCTGTACACCAAAAAGGTTGCGAGTTCAATTCCCAGGGCACATGCCTAGGTTATGGGTTTGATCCCATTAGAGAATGTACAGGAGGCAACCGATCAATGTCTCTCTCACATGATGTTTCTCTCTCTCTAAAATCAATAAAAACATATCATTGGGTGAGGATTAAAATAAACAGTAACTGTAAAAGTTGTATCAACATGAAAAAATGTTTTATGTAAATTTAAATGATAAAACAAGCATATAAAATCACCTATGCTATCATTACAATATAAAAGATGTACTCACATGAACAAGGACTGGAAGAAAACAAGAAAGAACGAACAAAGACGATTTGGTGGTAGTATGATTACTAAGGATTTAAACAAGACTTAAATCTTAAAATTAAAGGCCTTCCCTTCAGACAAATATCAAAAACAAAAAGATTAAGTATACAAGATGATAAAGTTTATCCCTCATTCCTTCCTCCCTTAACAATATTCTTCTGAAATCAGTTAAAATCAAGCTCCTCTTAGGTGGCACTTGTCTCTTCTTTACAAGGCACGGAACGCCTTTGTTGAGGGATGGCTCCAATCCTCTACCTAATCCTTTATGATCATTTCTATGGGAAAGTGACGGGAGAAACAGAATAGTGTTTCCCAGGAAGCGACAAGAAAGGTAAGAGTCAAGTTAAGGAAGATGGGTTCTAGCCTCTGAGAGCCCTACAGCTCACAATGCCATAATGCACTACCGCCAGGGGTGAAAGGTACAATACCTGTTTGCCCGTCCGCGCCCCATCCACAAGAATAGACTTCTCCTTTATCCGTTAGGAACAGACTATGGTCCTGACCACAGGCGACCTATCAGACAGACAGAGGTGAGGTTGATGAGAAGAAATCCTTTGAAGCCCAGGGTCCTAGTCAATGGACCCAAAGCCCAGTAGCATTCCCTACTGCTCCTGAGCACCAAGCACGCTGCATCCAGCCCACCAGGCTGCCCCACACTGGCTCCACCTCCTATTCATTCTCAATGCACTGCAGCCTAGCAGGCTACAACTCCAATAAAACTGCTAAAGTAAAGTACCAGGTATCCTAAGAAACAAACCCAAGAGCTCCTCCATCGCCTCCACACCTGAGGAACCACTTCCTCCTCCAAAAGCCTTTCTTTTCATTATTCCTCTTCTGCCTCTCCCAGCCTCTACTTCCTACCCTTCAGTGTTGGAATCCTCCAAGGTTCTGTCTCCTCTGGCCTCGTCTCTCCTCAGTCTTCACTTCCCTGGGAGACTGCATTCATTCCCAAGGCTTTAGGTGTCACCTCCACATTATTATCTCCAGTCCCAACAACTCTACTGAGTTCGGACTATTTTCCTAACTGCCTAATGAAAAGCACTCTTTATTGAACACTTATGTCAAGCACTGTGCTAAGTCAATAACCAAAGCCACCCAGTAAGAAACTGAATCTCAGAGGAGTTTGGTAACTTGTCCAAAGTCACCCAGTTAATATGTGAAGCAGGAAGTCAAACTCTCATTCATGTGACTTTGAAGCCTGTGCAAGAAGCACTACATTCTACTGCAAATTCGCTCTCTCACTCTTCCTCACTTCCTTCTCCCAGCCAACCCAAGCCCGCTTCTCCTCCAATACACCCCCTATTTGGGTTGAGAACATCAGCAGCTGAGTCATCTGCCTATGGAGTCCTGCTTGACTCCCTCTAGCTCACTCCCTGCCTGGCTAATCAAGCCCCAAATCCAGTCAAATCTCTTCACATGTCTCCCCACCTGTCTCTTCTCCCCATGGCTTCCCAAATGGCCTTCATCACTTCTCCCCCAACTCTAGTCCATACCATGGCCAAAGTTATCTTTCTAAATAGTTCATGATTTGGCTGTCACTCCCCCTGCTTAGAACCTTTGATAGGCCCCAACGGTCAAGAGGATGAAGTCTAAACTCCTTAGCGAGGTATTCAAGACTATCCACTCTGAACCTATCTTCTAGCCTACTCCACACCACTTTCTCATAAGCATACCAAACTCTAGCCACACAGCACGTTCTCAGCAGAGCCTCCAGCTGCTCCCTCCCCTCTACCAGAAAACTTTCCCTCCCACCCTTCCCCAGTCTATTTGGCCAATTCTTCTGCCACCTCCCCCATGACGCCTTTTCTCCCTTCCATTCCACCCCTGCTTAGCCTTAACAATTCCCCTTCTGGTACTTTTATAGCAATTTCTATATATATTCACTTATTTAGGTTTTGTTATTGTTGTTGCTAATCCTTACCCAAGGATGTTTTTCCCACTGACTTTTTTAGAGAGTGGAAGGGAGAAAGGGAAGAGAGGGAGAAAGAAAGAGGCATCCATGTGAGAGAAACACATTGATTAGTTGCCTCCCGCACATGCCTAGACCAGGGCTGGGGATTGAACCTGCAACCCACATATGTGCCCTTGACCGGAATCAAACCCACCACCATTTGGTGCACGGGCCAAAGCTCTAACTACTGAGCAACAACGGCCAGGGCTACTTAGTTATTTATTATAAGTACCTACCACATGCCAGGCACTGCACCAGGGACAGGAATAAAATGATAAACAAGATAAAGCCAGGCTGGAACATAGACAGTGCCCTGATACAGCTAGTTTTTTTAACCTGTGTCTCCCACTAGAGTATTATCCCCCAAACCTTATTAAATTTTGGCAATCTACTGCAAATTGTGTCCTATAGTAGGCAGGCAATAATTTTCACTAAAATAGTTTATTAATTCAGAAAAATCCAACTACCAAATTTTTCATCATTCCACCCAACTTTCTCCCTTTCAAAAGTGCCCCAGAGAGCAGGTTGAGTGGCTTTCAGCCCATGCCTCTTACCTGGACCACCTGTCCATCGAAGTCCTGCATTCTATGGACTTTGTGACTTTCACTACACCAGGAGCAATTTGGGGAGAAGCAAGAGATATGTTCATGGTAAGCACTGTGGGGTTCTGGCCCCTACTCTGTCACCCTAAACTGTGGGCCCCACATACAGAGTAACTATTAGGGAAACTCTCAAGGTCAGATACAATAAGGCAGAATTAGGCCAGGTGTGAAAGTAAAACAAAACAAACAAAATCCTTTGGTGATTTTCATATGCTGCCAGAGTTGAAACTGGTAGTATTTAGAACCACCAGTGCAATGCAACGAACTAGAGGGAAATGCAATTAACTAGTCTTTTTTTTAAAGACTAAATGAATAGGACTGAAACAGGAATTTGTGAAGTTAATCAATTTGGTTAAAAATACAAAACTAATTCAAAGAACTTCTACACATCACAATCAATGTTCATGAACCCTCCCCTCCTACCAAGCTAATGCACAGAGTTCAACCTGCAATGAAACAATCCTCTCCACAGCTTTCCTGTGAGTCCCACTGCTCCTCTCACACAAGAGGAACCCTGCCTACTGCTCTGTGGGTCTATCACCCAGGAAATGTTTAATACTTAACACAATTAGGGGAAGGGGTAGTTCTTTCAGGAACTTACCTATAAATTTCATTTTCGACCACTTTTCTTCCACACTGCCCGTAAGAATTGTTTCCCATGCTGAAGACTAAAAAATAACACCCCTAGTTAAATCAGTTCTTCAGATTCATGGAGTCCTAGAATATCAGGATTGGAAGGGGTCTTAAAAGTGGTCCTAGTCCAACCACTCAACCTAACTACCATTTGGTTTCCTTCTCCAACATTCGCAACCAGTGCAGGCAGAGCCGCAGGTATGTTGGGGTCTAGACCTGCCACATCAGTGTGTGCCACCTTTACTGTCCTTCTGCCCTCCCCTCTGGGCCCTAGTTCCACCTCTCAGAAACCCCACCTTACATAAGGTAAGCACCTCCTGTGAAGGCCTCAGCACCCCCATTTCCTGAACCTGTCACTAGGTTGCCCTTGATGCAAAAATCCCTCCTGAAAAAGTTCCTAAACACTACCTTCACCTTTTCCTACAAAGTACACGTAGCCAGAAAATGAAATTTGCAAAATTTAGTCAAGTTGGTCTTTCCCTAAAGACCACTCTTCTGTAGAGTGTGGGGGTTACCAAGAAACCTGGACTCTGAAAGCCCCCACCACTTAGAAGAAGTGTTAGCAAATAGGCTTCTTTCAGAACAACAGGAAAAGCCATCTGCATGTGTAGCCCAGCTCGGTGCCTTTATGCAAATGCCTGGGAAAGGCTGCCTGGTGTGTGCTGTCACATTTATAGATAAGCTGAGATTTTCCAAGAACCACAGAGAGCAGAGAGCATAAAAGATTTAGCAAGGTCTGCCCAATACAGCTCTCTTGAGCATCCTACTGATTTGCTCAGGAAATGCCAACAGCTTCACTAAATAGACATGGCTCAACCAAATAAGCCCCTTTAGGCCCAACGGCAAGAAAGCAGTTCCCCCACTCCTCCATCAGTTCTTTACCTCCTTCACCGTCTGTGAGGACAAGAGAATGGGCTCTCCCGCAGGAGACCTGTAGCACCCGTGTCTCCTGAGGTCTGTCCAGAGGCAGTGGAATCGGTGAGGGCTCTAAAACATACTCGTATCCCCTTGCTGAAACAAAAACAATCGGGTTCATTACACTGATTGAGAGCCACAGCATTTCTAACATCAGAAATCATACTGTCAAACCGCCACATTTTTACTCAGTCAGATATTGGGATGACTTACTCAAGGCACATAAGCTAGGACTAGAACCCCGGTCCTCAACTCCCAACCCACTGAATCACATTGCCTCCATTACACACTGGATTATTGAAAAGCATACTAGTCTTATTTTTTTTTTTTAAATCTCTTCATATGTCATTTAATACCGTTTGAACTTTTAAGGAAAGTAAAAGCATTTTCTTCCTGCAATGCCCACTAAAACTTCTCAGTAAAGTGAACAACAAGTATTGTTATAATAAAAGGCAGCAAAAAGAATACGTAGATGCGTTTACTTGCACATACATTAAATCTCTGTAGAAATATAACCTGGAAACTATTAACACAAACTGTCTTCAAGGAGAAAAACCATGTGGCTGGAAGGACAGAGGTGGAAAGCAGACTTGTCATCATATATTCTACTATGCCTTTAGGATTCTTGACTATACAAAAAAGAAAGTTTTCATATTTAAGTAAGCAAGTAAGGGGAAAGTTTTTTAGAAGTCACTCTAAAGAAGAACCTTATTGTTCTTTACAATCCTACTGAAAAAGCCTGATTGGTCTATGTAAAGAATTCCTCTTGTAGCCCTGGCCAGCGTACTCAGCGGTTAGAGCGTTGGACCACACACACAAGGGTCCCGAGTTCAGTTCCCAGTCAAGGGCACCTACCTGGGTAGCAGGTTCAATCCCTGGCCCTGGTCGGGGCACAGTTGGGAGGCAACCGATTGATGTGTTTCTCTTACATTGTTGTTTCTCTCACATCGCTGTTTCTCTCTCTCTGCCACCTCCCCCTTCCTTCCTCGCTTCCAATCTCTCTAAAAATCAATGGAAAAAATATCCTTGGGTGAGGATTACAAAAAAAATATTTTGCTTACCAAATAAATGGCATTATTACTGTTGCAACAATATGCCTGCCCATTTGTTTCATTAGTGACTTATACAATTTTCAGGGTTTTTGAGCAGCATGAAATAACTGGCATATCACAATAAGATTATATGATTCTAGGCAAAATCAAAGAAACTAGACAGTGTTGTTAGCTTATACAGCCTTATTAGCTGAAAAGATACAGTACTTTAGAATACTGAAAAGTGACTCACATCCCCCATTACTATCTGTATAGACCCCTAAGGGCCTGGGATGCTGTAAATACATAACATTTAAAGGGAATCTGGCTCTAGATCCAACTACCAACTGACAGGAAATATAAAGGATCATGTTAAATGTGGATGCACTCAGCAAACCCCAAACTAGAAAATTCTATAGGATAAACAATATGATTTCTTTAATAGGTAAATTTCAAAGAAAAAAGATTAAAACAGACTTAAAAGACTTTTAAAAGTCATATCAATCAACTACAATGTCTGGGCCTTATCTGGATTTTGATTCAAATAAATTTTTTAAAGTAAAATATAAATTTAACATCTGTGAGACAATTAACAATTTGAACTGGATTGTTGACTAGTTCAAAATGACTAGTGCAAATTGAACTGACTAGATATTTGATGATATTAAGGAATTATATTAATTATTTTTTTAATATACTTTTTTTTTAATCTTCACCTGAGGATGTTTTAGAGAAAGAAAGGGGGGAGCAAGAGAGAGAGAGAAATATCATCGTGAGAAATATTGATCACCTGACTCCTGACCAGGGATCGAACCTGCAACTTAGGTGTGTGCCAACTGGGAACAGAACCTGCAACCTTTCAGTGTAAGGGACAAAGCTCCAACCCACTGAGCCACATTGGCCAGAGCTATTGTTAATTATTTTTAGGTGTGATAAGGTTGTGTTTACTTTTTTTTAAAGAGTCCTTACTTTTTTTAGATATGTACCAAAATATTTATAAATGAAATCAGTGTTAGAATTTGTTTCAAATTTATTGAGGGGAAGGTGGGGGGAATGAACAAGACTGGCATGACTTGATGGCTGCTGAAGCTGGTGACAGTACACGGGATGTATTACACTATTCTGTACATTTCTGCATATATCTAAAATTGTTCCTAATAAGTGGTATAAAAAATGTGATGTGGCATCCTACAGCTAGTAAGACTTCAATATTAACTTATAAAAGAATTCTGATATAAAATTAGTGGAAAAAAGGCAGAAAACAAAACATATGCTATAATCAAAATAAAATATATATTGGTATATGAATAAGAAAACAGAAAAGAATGGAAAGCTCTGTCCTAAGTAGGTATGTCTATGTAATTTCTCCTAGTTTAAAAAATGTTTCTTATTGTTCTTAAAATACTGTTTGACTAATGTGTACTTTTTAAAATGTTATTATAAATAATTTCTAACATTTTTACAATTAAACTTTCAAACAACTGGAATAAAGCCTCCACCTTAAGGATTTCATTGAATTTTTTCCCAGACCACATCCTAGGTACTGTAGAGTATTGCAGGCTATCTCCAAGCTAGGAAAGAAAGATCTCTCTGAGGTCAAAAAGGAACATCTTCACTTATCAGCCAATTTCTTTTTGCCTAAAGGTTCAATGTTATTATCAAAGAGGCTGAAAGACTACCTAGTCCAGATGGTTTCCAACAACATCCCCTTAAGACTGCACCTATTTTGCCATTATGCTTTGGTTTATGTGATGATACCCATGAAAATCCAAAGGGAGCTCTCAGATTAGTCACAGCAGAAAGAAGCCACGGCGAGAATGCTTACTTTTATCTTTCCTGCTCCTCTGAAATCCAAGCTGAGAATCTTTGTTGAGTCCCATACCCCAAACTTTCGTAACATCCTTGGTTTTAGAGGACAGCAATGTGAACCCATAGCCACAAGCAGCTGATGAAATCTGAAAGAGTTCCCATAAGGCATTAACTGATTTGTGATATCAAGTTTTTTTCAGCAATTTATGACAAGTTATTTATCCCATCCTAGAACTCATACCATTAATATAGCGACTAACATTTACTCAACATTTACTATGTGTTAAGTGTTCAATATGTATTATCTCATGTAACCTTTATACTCACCCTATGAATTAGGTATTACATCATCCCCACTGACCCAGACATAGCCTAGCATAGTAGTTAAATTGAAGACTGCCTTAGTTTGAATCTTGGCTCTACCCTTTACCAGCTGTGCGACCTGAGATAGATTACTTAGCCCCTCCGTATCTGCTTCCCTCTCTGTAAAATGGAGATAAGTACAGTGGTACCAAGGTTCTCCAACGTCTCCACTGACGAACATTTCGGTTTAGGAACGCTGTAAACCCAGAAGGAAATGCTTCGGTTTTCAAACACGCCTCGGAAGTCAAACATGCCCCATGGCTTCCGCTGAGGGCAGGATCCTAAGACCCAGCTGTCGGCTGTTGATCCCTCAGGTTTCCAACATTTCAGAGCTCAGTCTTCCGGAGCGGAGCACATTCAAAAACCGAGGCACCACTGTAGCTCTCTCTTTGGGTTGTTGTGAGGGCTAAATTAGTACAGCTAAAGCCCTTACAGTATGTAGTACCTGACTTAATGCACTTGTTGTTACTAGTAGTAGCAGTATTTGAAAGATGAGAAAATCAAGTGTGAACCCTGAGGAGGAGGAAAAAAAGACACCTACTAAGAAGCGTTCCTAGTGGCTAACTGGGCTCAAATTTTAAAAAAAGAGCCAGAGCCTAGCAGCCATTTCTGCACAGGGGCATGTCACACAAACTGCACTTCAGGGAAAAGCCTGAACTGAACTGCCTGCCTGTACTGTGTTTCTACCATCTGAGCCAGCCCTTATAAAAATATCCTGGAAACCTATTTCCCCATCCAATCAGAGCTGCTCTGACCAATCAAAGCAGCTCTATTCTGACCAACCAGGACAGTGCCTTTTGGGCCAAACTTTAAGGATTCGGAATCCTCATCTGCATGAGGATGGACCAATCAGGGACCAGGTGCAGGGCCTCCTGTCCATATAAGCCAGCTCCCCTCTGGATCACAGAGCATACTTTCCACTGAAGACTAAATTTCTGGCTAGAGTTGAAATCCTGAAGATGTCTAGCTGGAACAGAGCAGAGTAGACCATTGCAGAGCAAAGCAGAGCAGAGCTACCTAGCTGAAGAGGGGCCCGGCCCTGGGGCAGCCTCACAGTCCTGCTGTTTTCACAGCCACACTATACTGTAGCACCACTGAGCTGTTTCACAGTGCTGTTTTCACATCCATGCAGTATCACTGTTTGCACTGAATAAAGTTTCCTTTTTCACTGCACCCCAAACTGGGGATTCTTGTTGGTGTTGAATTGGCACCAACAACAATCAGGTGACACAAGGATCCTTTCAACACAAGTTAAAGATTAAGTAACTTGCCCAGCTGGTGTGGCTCAGTGGTTAAGCATCAACCTATGAACCAGGAGGTCACAGTTCGATTCCCAGTCAGGACACATGCCCGGGTTTAGGGCTCAATCCCCACCGGCGGAGTGCAGGAGGCAGCTGATCAATGGTTCTCTCTCATCATTGATGTTTCTATCTCTCCCTCTCTGAAATCAATAAAAACATTTTAAAAAAAAAAGATTAAGAAACTTGCCAAAATATAATCACAAAGCTAATGAGCAGAAGATATCTGATTCCAGAGTGCATATATCATCAAAAAGTTCAGTTTCAATGAAAAAGTATGAGACATGCAAAGAAACAAGAAAATGTGACATATACTGAGGGGAAAGCAGAAACTCAAACTAAGTGTACCCACATGTTGAATTTGTCAAAGACGTTAATGAACTATCACTCAAACAACTTTTTTTTTTTAATATATCTTTATTGACTTCAGAGAGAGGAAAGGAGATAGAGAGAGAGAAATAAAAACATCAATGATGAGAGAGTCACTGATCGGCTGCCTCCCGCATGCCGACTGGGGACTGAGCCCGCAACCCGGGCATGTGCCCTGACCGGGAATCGAACCCTGATCACCTGGATCCCAGGTCGATGCTCAACTGCTGAGCCATGCCCAGCTGGGTTCAAATAACTTTTTAACTGTGTTTAAATTAATGGAAAATATAATAACAATGACTCAACAAATGTGGAAGCTGAACAGAGAAATAAAAACATTAAAAACCTAACTGGAAATTCTAGAGTTGTAAAGTTCTAGAATAACCAAAAGAAAAATTCATGATATAGACTCAAAAGCAGATTTGAAATGGCAGAAGAATCAGTTAACTTGAAGAAATATCAATGGAAATTATTCATTCTTAAGAACAGGAAAAAAAAAAAGGAAAGTCTCTTTAATAAATGGTGCTGGGCCCTGGCCAGGTGGCTCAATTGGTTGGAGCATCGTCCCATACACCACAAGGTTTCAGGTTTGATTCCTGGTCAGGGCACATACCTAGGTTACAAGTTTGATTCCTGGTTGGGACAGGTACAATAGGCAATGAATAGATATTTCTCTCTCACATCAATTCTTTCTTTCTTCCTTCCTTCCTTCCTTCCTTCCTTCCTTCCTTCCTTCCTTCCTTCCTTCCTTCCTTTCTTTCTTCCTCTCTCTCTCTCTCTCTCTCTCCCCCTCTCTTCTTTCCTCCCTCCCTCTCTCTCCCCCTCCCTTCTTTCCTCCCTCCCTCTCTCTCTAAAAATCAATAAAATACATTTCAAGTGAGGATTAAAAAATAGTAATAATAATAATAAAATGGTGCTGGGAAAACTAGGAAGCCACATGCGAAAAAATGAAACTAGAGTGCTGACACCATACACAAAAACTAACTCAAAATGGATTAAAGTCATGAATATAAAACCTGGAACAATAAAATACATAGAAGAAAACACTGTTACTATACTTATGGACCTTGGTCTCAGGGAGTTTTTTGTAAACTTGACTCCAAAGGCACAGGAAGTAAAAGAAACCATCAACAAAACTAAAAAGCAACCAACTGAATGGGAGAAGATATTTGCAAATGATACCTCTAATAAGGGGCTAATATCCAAAATATATAAAGAACTCATACTACTCAAAACTAGAAAAACACACAATACAATTAAAAAATAGACACTTTTCCAAGGGACACATGTATATGGCCAAGACATATGTAAAGATGCTCAACATCATTAGTTATAAGGGAAATCAAAACCCCAGTGAGCTACCACTTTCACACCTGTTAGAATGGCAATTATCAATAGAACAAGAAATAACAATTGCTGGAGAGGGTATGGAGAAAAGGGAACAATTGCATGCAGCTGGTGGGAATGTAAATTGGTGCAACCACTTTGGAAAACAGTACGGAGGTTCCTCAAAAAATTAAGAATAGAGCTTCCATATGCCCTAGCAATCCCTGTTCTGGTTATCTACCTGAAACTTTGAAATATCTACTATTTATAAAAATATATGCACCCCTTTGTTCACTGCATTATTCACAATAGCCAAGACATGGAAACAACCTAACTGTCCTTTGAAGAAGACTGGATAAAGAAGATGTGGTACATATATACAATAGAATATTACTCAGCCACTGAAGAGATGAAATATTGCCATTTGTGACAACATGGCTGGATCTTGAGAGTCTTATGCTAAGTGAAATAAGTCAGAGAGAATGAGAGTCAGAGAGAACTGTGCAATTTCACTCATGTGGGATATAAAACAAAAAGCAACAAATGAACAAATAAAACAAAACAAATGCACAGATACAGGCAACAGAATGGTCGTTACCAGAGGAGAAGGGGAGCTGGAGAACTAAGAAGGTAAAGGGGGTCAAATATACCACGACCAAAGGAGACTAGACTTTGAGTCAAGAGCACACGATAGAGTACACATGTCATATTATAAAGTCGTACACCTGAATTTATATAATGCTATTCATCAATGTTACTCCAATACTATTCAACAAACTTTTTTAAAAAGAAAGAGTAAACAGCTCTGGCCAGTGTGGTTCAGTTCGTTGAGTGTTGTCCCATGCACCGAAAGGTCACTGGTTCGATTCCCATTCCAGGCACATGCCCAGGTTGAGGGCTCGATCTGCAGTCAGGGTGCATACAGGAGGCAGCTGATCGGTTTCTCTCTCACATAGATGTTTTTCTCTTTCCCTCTCCCTTCCTCTCTCTCTAAAATCAATAAAAACATATTTTTAAAAAGAAATGAATAAACATGCTAATTTTAAAAACAGAATGGCAGAAAATTTAGCAAATTTTGTACAAAACATAAATCTACAGATCAAACTTGCTCAACAAATCACAGTTAAACTCTTGAAAGACATAGAAAATAAAAAAGCATCAAAAGAAAATGGATTCATCAAGTACAAGGAAACAACATTAACAGCAAACTTCTCATCAGAAACGATGAGGAACAGAAATCAGCAGAATGATATATTCAATGTACTGAAAGACAAAAACTGCCAACAAAACTATCCTTAGAAAATGAAGATGAAATAGACATTCCCAAAGACTAAGAAAATTCACTGCTAGTGGACCTGCCATAACATGTACTAAAGAAGTTCTTCGGCCTGGCTGGGCATGGCTCAGCAGTTGAGCATCGACCTATGATCCAGGAGATCAAGGTTCGATTCCCAGTAGGGGTGCATGCCTGGCTTTCGGGCTCGATCCCCATTCGGGGGAATGCAGGAGGCAGGAGATCAATGACTCTCTCATCATTGATGTTTCTATCTCTCTCTCTCTCCCTCTCCCTTCCTCTCTCTGAAATCAATAAAGATATATATTTTTAATAATAGATTTTTTTTTTAAAAAAAAAGGACATGGCCCGGCTGGGCGTGGCTCAGCGGTTCAGCGTCGACCTGGGATCCAAGCGATTGGGGTTCGATTCCCAGTCGGGGCACATGCCCGGGTTGTGGGCTCGATCAATGACTCTCTCATCATTGATGTTTCTGTCTCTCTCTCTCCCTCTCCTTTCCTCTCTCTGAAATCAATAAAGATATATTTTTTAAAAAATAAAAATAAATAAATAAATAAAATAATAAAAAAAGGACATGAATTGAGTAACATCAGTGAAAATGGTGAAGCAACAAGAACACTGGTAAATATTTTCAGAACTCTGGAAATTTAACAAAGGCTTAGAACAATCTGAAGAGTGTTTACCCAAGAAAAGCTACCAAATCTCAGCAAGAACAACAAGATTTGCGTTGTTTTAACTTGCCCTGTTCTCATTCACCTCTTCGCAATTCTGCAGTAGCCTTGAAAACCAACAGTTTACAATTGCAGTGAAAATCAGCAATCTGGCAGCCACAGAAGGTGGCAGAATACAGAATAGGATAGGAACATCAAAGCCCTATTTCCAGAGAATTCTCATTTGAACTATCTGGTGGTTCCCTGGAAAGCCCCCCTTTCAAGGCTGTCTTTATTTGGCCTGACCCCTCAGCAAAGATGGAGAAATTCATTGTTTATAGGCAGTTAAGGAAATTTCTGTCCAACTACTGGCTGTCCACTAAGCTAACTGAACAGAAACATCAGTGGCCATACATGACAAAGAATATAAACTTTACCAAATTAGTTCAAAGAAGCCACTAAACAACAACAAACAGCAACAACAAACCGTGAGGAGGTGGGAATATTTTATTTCCAGAGTTGCCACCTTGTATCATTTTAAATGTCCAGTTTTCAAAAACCAGAAGAAAAAAAAACAAAAAGCAAGCAATCGGAAGAAACAACAATTATAGCCCATACACAGGAGGGGGGAAAAAGAGCAGTCAACAAAAATTGTTCCTGAGGAAGCCCAGATGTTAGACTTAAGACAAAGACTTTAAAGTCGACTATCTTAAATACATTCAAAGAACTAAATCACATGTGAAAAACTAAAGGAAAGTATAAGAACAATGTCCCACCAAACAGAGAATATCAATAGAGAGCTAGAAATTATACAAAAAAACTAAATAGAAATTCTGAGGTTGTAAAGTACAATAACTGAAATTAAAAATTCACTAGATGAGCTCGCGTCAGATTTGAGCAGGCAAACTTGAAGGTAGGTCAATTGACATTACCTAGTCTGAGAAACAGAAAAAGAATGAAGAAAAATAAACAGATCTTTGGAAACTTTGGGACACATCAAGTATATCATCATACACATAATGGAAGTCCCAGAAGGAAAGGAGAGAAGGGCAGAAAGAGCATTTGAAGAAATAATAAAGTATGGCAGATAAAATGAATAGGAACACCCTGGCCGGGTAGTTGGAGCGTCATCCCATGTACCAAAAGGTTGCAGGTTCGATTCTCATTCAGAGCACATATCTAGGATGCAGGTTCCATCCCCAGTCAGGGCATGTATGGGAAGCAAGCAATTGATGTTTCTCTCTCTCACTGATGTGTGTGTGTGTGTCTCTCTCCCTTCCTTCCTTGCTCTCTAAAATCAATAAACATATCCTGGGATGAAGATTTAAAAAAAAGAATAGGAGCACAGAGGATTTTTAGGGCAGTGAATATAATCTGTATAGTACTGTAATGTGGAATACATGTCATTACACATTTGTCCAAACAAACAGAATATACACCAAATGAATCCCAAGGTAAACTATGGACTTTGGGTGATTGGGATGTGTTCTGTAAATTCACAATTGTAACAATGTACCAGTGGAGGAGGGGAGTTTTGATAATGGGGGACACTACGCATGTGTGGACAATAGTACACTGAAAACTACAAAACATAGTTGAAAGAAACTATAGATCTAAATAAATGGGAAGACATTCCATGTTTATACATTGGGAGACACAAAATAGTTTTATGGCATTTTGGTCCAAATCGATCTACAGATTCAACATAATCCCTATCAATATCCAAGCAAGTATTTTTGCAGAGATTGGTGAGCTCATCCTTAAATTCATATGAAAAAGCAACAGACCCAGAATAGCCAAAACAATTTTATAAAAACAACAACAAAGTTGGAGGACTTACATTTCCATTTCAAAACTTATTTAAAAGCTACAGTAATCAAGAGAGGTGTAATTTTGGCATAAAGGCAGACATATAGATCAATGGAACAGAATTGAGAAGTTCAGAAATAAACCCTTACGTGTACAGTCAACTGATTTTTAACAAAGGTGCCAAGACAATTCAATAAGGGTAATCTGTCCAACTAATAATGCTAGGACAACTGGGTACCCACATGCAAAAAAACCTTACCCCACACCATACACAAAAAAATCAACTGAAATGGCTGACTCATAAACAAATATAAGGACTAAAACTAAAAAGCTCCTAGAAGAAAACTGGAAAATTATCTTTGTGAGCTTGGATTAGGCAAAGATTTCTTAAATAAGATACCAAAAGCATGATCCACAGGAGAAAAACTGATCAACTTAATTTCATCAAAATGAAAAACTTGCTCTTCACAGGTCACTATTTTAAAAAACCACAAACTGGCCAAAAAAAAATCTGCACACATCCTATGTGTGATTAAGGACCTATAGCCAGAATACATTAACAACTCTTACAACTCTATATTAAGAAGTAAACAACCCAACTTTTCATTCGCCTTGAGCTTAAAGTCCCTGTTTCTATCGACCTCCCCTTTTCGGAAAGTTAAAAGATCGCTTGTTATCCTTGACAGAGGTCAGGAGCTAAAATGGTCAAATGTGCCTCTTTTTCATCATCCACCAAAATTTCCACAACCATCATCCCTAAACATCCATTTTTGCTCTCTGAGGGTCGGCTTCCAAGATAACCGCCCGGCTGCAGCTGTCCTTCCCTGTCATCTTTTCCATTCCGAGTCACGTCAAAGGCCTCCTGTGCAAACCCTTCCTCTCTCATTCCTGCTCCAGCTAACGTTTCCTTTCCCAATTCTTCACCTTCTCCCACATTTTCTCTGACCTTTTTAAGTCTCCTTTCCTAACACCGGAACTCCTGGAGTCTCCCCGGCCCAAGTGGAGTCCCACAGGCCTGGAACCTGTCCCTCAGCCTCTCCGAGCCTCCCTCTCCATCCGCGTAACTGTGGGGACAGCCCAGGCTCCCGGGAGGACGTGCGAACGACGGGAGCTGGCAGCAGCGCCCGGCACATTTCAGCCGCTCGGGGGGATGTTGGCTACGCCCCTAACGCTTTCCCCTCCCGGGGTCGTCCTCCCAGAAGTGTGAGCACCCAATGTCACTAGCTTCTCGGAGGAGGAAGGAGGGCGCTGCGGCCCGCACCTTTTGATCCAGCTCCAGGCGGTAGGGCACCGG